TTTTGTTTCTATTTCTTGCCATTCGTTGTCCCTCTTTTGTCATTTTGTGTCTCTTTTTTTAAAGTTTGGGGGGTTTTGTCTCCACATTCTACAGATATTGAACTTGGTTTGATTTTTGCTCTCAGTGTTTCCCTGAATGTTCAACTGAAGGTCACAGCTGAGTTGGTCATGGATGAATCAGCTGAAGAGTGAAGGGGTTTTTTGTTTTGTTTTGGGTTTTTTTAAATTCAGAATCTGGTGCAAACATTTTGTTTTTTGCAGAATTGTTTAATCAGACATGTAGAATCAAGTGATTGTGAAAATAATTGAAGCTTAGATTTCTTGATGGAGCCACAGATCTCACATGAATGATTCACAAACTACTGGAAAACTAAAAGTTTGACTTTCTTTCTGTTTTCTGTGGGAAAACAAATTTAAAATTTTGGATCTGCTCTGAAGGTCTTTTCTTACCAAATAGTTGTTATTTAGTCAGGTTGTCTCTTTGAACTCTTCTCATAGAGATGTTGTACATGTGATGGTATGCTGATGGTCAATCAGTTGGGATAAAGAAAGAAAATAATAAGGGACAAAAAAAACCCACCTTTATTTCTGGAGAATTTTAACCCTTTTGTCGATTAAATATCACAATTTGGAGCATCAGACAGCTTGTTTCTACAGTTTCTAGCTAATAAATGTTGTAACTTTGGGGATTGTTTTTACGATACGCTTCAAGACAACATGTCTTTCAAACCTGCCGTCGAATTTTGTCCTTCAGATGTTTAAGGGTGAAATTCAGACCAAGAAAAATTGAGCTTTTTCTCACAGTGAATCTACAGAAATCCCCGTCTGTGTCTGTTCGTCCAGGTACGTCCGGGAGAAGACGAGGACGGAGGTGGACATGCGAGTTGGCGTCCACACCGGCACCGTCCTCGGAGGCGTCCTCGGACAGAAGCGCTGGCAGTTTGACGTCTGGTCCACCGACGTGACTGTGGCCAACAAGATGGAGTCTGGAGGGATTCCTGGGTGGGGAACCGGCTCCGTCGCTCGCCGCTGCAGAGGTCACTCACATCCATTAATGTGGTTTATTTAAAGACGTTTGTGTGCTTCACAGGAGAGTCCACATTTCTCAGACCACCAAGGACAGTCTGCACGGGGAGTTCGACCTGGAGGATGGAAACGGTGGAGAGCGGTGCGAGTACCTGCTGGAGAAAGGCATCGAGACCTACCTGGTTCTGGTTCCCAAGCAGCCAGCAAAGGGCCTCAATGGAAACGTGAGGAGTTTGTGCCGTCTGACACTTTATTCCACCAGTTTCCTGCTTTTACAAAGAAATAGTGACCATTTTATTCAGTGTCAGCTGTTTTTTTCCTGCTTCAGACGCCTGCAACGCTCACCAACAGAAACTCAAACCAGCTGATCAACACCACAGCGACCAACGGGAACACGCCTGTGTCCCACCGGTCCACGCCCACCGAGTCCAAACATGAGGTGAATGAATGTCGAAGTTAAACCTCAGCTGCACAGGTCTGTGTTTGACTGGCTGAAAGTGGATGTTACCCAAAAAACAAAGCAAAGAAAAACACAAAGTGCAACAAACTCAGGATGTTAAACTCTCCGTTGGTAGTTCAACTCTGTCGGAGAAATGACAAAAAAAAAAAGCCCAAAATGATTTGAAACTTGTGCAAAATAACTCAAATTTGTCCACAATTGACCAAAGCTGTCAAATAATAAATAAAAAATTGCCCATACTGAAATAAACATGCCTACAATAACCCAAAATGATTAGAAATTTATCCCAAACCAAAAGCACAAAAACGTGTCCAAACTGTCTGAAATGACAAAAAAAACACGTTTCTTTTTTTTCTATTTTTTCATTTGTCCAAAGTAACTCCATATATTACCATGAAAAATGAGCAGCCAGTGAATAAAAATGTTACAGAAGCAAAAAAACACCCAGAAAGTTTACTGTAGAAGTCTGTACAGACGGCTGGGAAACAAATTCTCTGAGCACAACTCTGTGAATATAGAAAAAGACAAACAAACTTATCAAAGAATGTCTTTGAATTTGACAAAACTTAATAAAATTGTTCAAAATGCCTCCCAGAAGGAAAAACGTGTGTCCCAAATGTCTTAAACTTGTCTGAAATGACCTAACATTGCACAAAATGATTCATAATTTGTCCAAAATCCTTTTCCCCCCAAATTGTTCAAAGTAAAAAACTAGCAGGACCTTGTGTTGTCATGCAAAATGAGCTGACAGAGAGTCAACATGTGTCAGTAGAGCTCTGATCTGTAGAGTCTACACACTGCTGGGGGATGAAGTCTGGGTGCACAACCACATGAATGCAGAAGAAAACAAACAAACAAACAAACAAACGTGTCGAAAATGACTCGAAATTCAACATACAACAGATACTGAAAGTGTACGCTGCATGTCCGTGGTCAGAACGCCACACTGAAGCACTGTTGCTTTGATTCACTCTGATGTTTGTTTCGCTGCTCAGAGGAACAAGATGGTGGAAGAACAGGTGATCAACAGGCGACTGCAGCAGGAGCTGCTGGAGAGAGAGACGCAGCAGATGTAAGAACACAGAAAACATGCCTACAAACATTAAGATATTATCCACCGACATCACCGATACCCGTGGTCTGATCAGTCCACGTCTGGTGGTTTGTGCTCCGGTTGTTGTTGATGTTCTATCCTGGCTGCAGAATGAAGGATCACCAGATCAACTCGGTGTCGCTGCGCTTCCTGGATGTGAAGCTGGAGGAGCTTTACTCCTCAGAGAAGGAGAGACGAAGCGGAGCTGCTTTCTGCTGCTGCATCATCGTCCTCTTCTTCATCACGGCCATGGAGGTCTTCATCGACCCGCTGTAGGTGCATCTACGGTCACATGACTCTATGGAGCTCCTCAGACACCTGTCGGCTCATTTATACGCTGCTAGAGGAAGATGATCTGTTGCAGACTGTCAGAAACAGACTGAAGACGTGTTTCGTTGCAGGCTGGTTGTGAACTACGTGACTCTGGCGGTCGGTCAGGTTCTGCTGTTGATCCTCACCGTTTGCTCGCTGGCGGCCATCTTTCCTCGGGTAAGAAAACAACAAAACGAACCAAAGTTTGTTTCTTTTGGGCCAAAACACTGGCAGCAGAAAAACACATTCAACTGAATCTCTTCAATTTTTACTTAAATATAGGATTTGAATACTTCTTCTGTCGCTGCTGGAAATGTATAAACAGTAAAATGTTCATTTATAATGATTTAATATTTGACGTGTGCTCGTTGCAGATGTTTTCCAAGAGGTTGGTTTCGTTCTCGATGTGGATCGATCGAACCCGCTGGGCCAGAAACACCTGGGCCATGGCGGCCATCTTTGTCCTAACCATGGCTGTGATCGCCGACATGGTACGACTGTTTTTATCTGTGTTTGAGGTGCTTTTCTGTCACGATATGCAATTTTTTAATAGTACCAATAATAATAAATTACAGATGATTTGACTTTTTGACAAGAATTTATCATTTATAATTCACAATTCATTACTGGAAAGCAATAATACTTTTTATAGGCAACGTATGTAGCATCATCGTCAATCTTTTTGGGTAAATTCTAAAAGAAAATCTAAATTAACTTGACAGAGATTCAGTGTTGAAAAACAGTAAAAGAGAAAAAGGCTGTGATAAAGGCTGAGGTCCTACAGAGTGAACTATGAGCCTGATTGATGGAGCGAAGGCCCTGCGGTATTGTGAATTACAGAACTTAACCTCCTAATACACGTAAATATTGTGGCTGCAGCGTAATTAATGTCGCCGCAGGAAGATTCATACAGTCGGCTTCCTGGAGACCCTCCTGGGATCAACGTATGTGTTGGTACGGAGCAGCAGCAGCAGCAGCGCGTGTGAACGTGCACGCCAGGTGTTTCCACTTTGTCCTCATCAAACCACCTGTAAAGAGTCTGACTGCCGGCCCCCTCTGGGCTCCATTAGGCGTCTGTCTCGCTGCCTGAAGGCCCCCGAGGAGCCTCAGGCTGCCTCACACACTGCTGCTTCTCAGCGGCAACAACAAGCAGGACGCTCGTCTCACCGTCTCACCTGTCAGGTGCAGGTGGAGGCTGGAGAAAGCGTGGTTCGCTATTCCTGCTGTTGCCATAGTAATGAGGTTGTTCTCACCAGAGAGCGGTTTAATTATAAACCCCCTCCGTGCTGCTTGATTAAACCACTAAAGAGAAAGTGACTTATTTACATGTTTTGTATGAAAATAATCCCTACGCTATCAAAAAATATATTTATTAACATTTTTGTGAACAATTTGCTGCTTTTTTATAGATTGTCCCTGTTTTGTTAAATTACATTTCACAATTTTTAAAAAAAAGTATTAATTTAGACATTAAGCATAAAAAACTTTTCCCGAACTGTATATAATGTTCACATCAAATTAATAGTAAATAGTTCTTTTACAACATTTGGCAGTGATAATATGCTATTTTTATGGTATTTAAATCAGAAAAAAATTTCAGTATATCGCATATATTTGCTGTTATTTGAAAGAAACACGATGTGCATGTACGTCTGGCAAATGGTGAATAAGTTTAAAACTGGTATTTTATCGTTTTTGGTTAAATTGTTGGTAATAACTGGTGAAATCACACAAAAAATACGACTTTACATGTCAAAACGTGTATTTAAATCTATTTTATCAGTCTGTATTTTACAGATATGTTCCATTATTTGAATTAAAATGATGTATATTACAGATTAAAAGATGGTAAATATTTTTTAACGGTTATTTTACAGATTTTTTTGGTTTTGTTAAATTACAGGTAATAATGCTCAGGTTGCTTTTACGCTCACCTGAGAGACAAATGTGCAAAATGAGAAGCAGAAGACACGACAAAAATAAACAAAATAGTCACCCATCATCACCAAGATTGAAGGCTGCAACTTTTTAATAATGAATCAACCAGATAATTTCTGGATTGTTCGCTTATTTTACCTCCAAAATGTCCAAAACTTGTACAGAACGTTCCTCATATTTTCTTAAACTCAGGGTCAACCAGCGGTCCAGTTGTTGCTTGAAAACTGACTTTAGAACTCCTTATTTCTTATTAAAAGTGTTGCCAGTTAATTGATTAACAAACTGTTTTGTTGAGCAGTGGGTTGAACAAACTCCTGTGTTTATATCAGTGAAGCCCCGGTGAACCAAACTGTTTAAACGTGATAATTCTCACCTCTCACCATCCTGCTGCTGTTTGAGGCTCCATGAAGCTCTTCTCTGACGTTTCTGTTTCTTCACGTGGTCTCGCTGCTCCAGCTGAGCTGCGCCCCTCCGTCCATCTGGGTCTCCAACAGAACCTCCGGCCCGACGCTGGAGTCGCTCAGCGATCACGGCTGCGCGGAGAACCCGAAACACTACAGCTTCATGGCGGTGATGTCGCTGATGGCCACGGCCATGCTGGTGCAGGTCAGCCACCTGATCAAGCTGGGCCTCATGGTGCTGGTGGTCACGGCCAGCGGGGCGGTCAACATCTACAGCTGGAGGGACATTTACGACCTGTACGACTACATGCAGTCCAGCTCGTACAGGTGAGGAACCGACCAGGAGAATAAATACTTTATTTATTTATACAGGACATTTAGAAGAACTGAGACGAAAAGATTTTCTACTGAGAAATAAATGCAGCTCATAAAATTAAATGTTAAACATATGATACACATTTATTATTAAAATATTCATGTTAACATTTAAACTCTACAGTATTGTATATTATAAAAATAAGCCTAACTGATTTCATTTAGCGCAACAATATTATTTAATATACAAATTTACCCGACTAATGAAAAACATGAAGAACCTACAGTCATCTTTATTCTACAGATTTAATTGACTAATTTAAATATTATTTGTTTATGTCTTTCCTGGTGATTCTATGTGGACAGGATGTGCTTTTATTTCTACCTTTGCCTCTTCCTATAGAGCCTCCATGGTTCCCTCCAAGTACCTGATGACCGTGATGATCATCGTCATGATGATCTGCTTTTACGTCTTCGCTCGACACGTGAGTCTCTGAGCAGCAACACCGGCTTACGAGTCAAAATATGTGACGTCTGATGTTGTGTCTGTGCTGGCAGCTGGAGCATCAGTCCAGGAAGCTGTTCCTGTGGAAGATCGGCGTTCACGACCAGAAGGAGCGAGTGTTCGAGATGCGCCGCTGGAACGAGGCTCTGGTCACCAACATGCTGCCCGAACACGTGGCCAAACACTTCCTGGGCACCAAGAAGAGAGACGAGGTGAAATTTAAAATGTTTGTGTTTAAAAGCTCTTCCAGCTTGTGGGAAACAAAGAAACCTTTGACAAACCAAATCCAGTTTATTTATAGGCAGGCAGGTTTTAAATGAAAAAAACAGAGTGCTGCACATTTTATAAGACACATAACAGAAATATGAGCAGAAAAAATGACAGAAGAACAATACTGGTGTTTTTTTGTTTATTTTTAAAAAATATATATACATACATTTCATGCTTTTATTTTTATTTTATTTTATTTTATTTTATTTTATTTCCAACCTGCTTTCTTTGAAAATGCAGCATGTTGTCAGGCTCACAAGTAAGATTTTTTTTAGCTTTTAAAAAATATATGTATACTTTTTATTATTATTTTTTTTATTTTTTTTCTTTTTTTTCTTTTTTTTCATTTTTTTTTCTTTTTTTCGTTTTTATACTTCCCACTTCCCAAATTTATTTATTTATTTTTAAGAAAGCAGGATAAAGACTTGTAAAATGAGTCTAAATAAAATAAAATACTAGCATATAATTAGTATTGAAGGCACCACAGGGAGCTCCTACATCATCACAGTACTGTCTGCTGCACATCAGCGCCACCTTGTGGTGTGTCGGACCAGTGACAGTGTCAATGAGCAGAAAACAAAATAAAAGCCCCATAGAAAGCCAAAAATAGAATTAAAAAACGAATAAAAATCAGTCCTTTATCTCGTTAACGTGCCCATATTGTATTTACATCTGAGCATTTCTACTTTGATAATATTAAACAGATGCAAAAAAAGGAAAAGGAGTTGAAAAAAGAAATATCTAAAAGCATTCAGTTAGTTTTGGAACTAAGTCGAGGCTCGTGTTCTGAGCCTGACACACAGAAACCTGGACCTGGAGCTGATGGGTGTTTCCTCTGCAGGAGCTGTACAGTCAGTCCTACGACGAGATCGGCGTGATGTTCGCCTCCATCCCGAACTTCTCCGACTTCTACACCGAGGAGAGCATCAACAACGGAGGCATCGAGTGTCTCCGCATCCTCAACGAGATCATCTCGGACTTCGACAGCGTGAGTTCTGCTGCTGGTTTTATGCATTAAGAGGTGATTTTACTCCAGCATCGTACTGAAGTACAGCTCTGAGGTACTTCTACTTGAGTGTTTCCATGTTGAGCTGCTTCTACTCATCTCAGAGGGAAATATTCTGCTTTCTGCTCCAACGCATTCATCTAGCAGCTTACTAAAGATGCAGATTTGACAATAATATAGCAAGAGTTTAAAATACAACATAGTTATAGATTAAACCTTAAAAAAAATAGTTTATTGTTTGGCTCAAATTTAAAATTATGTATAGATTTTTTTTCAATGTTTGGTAATAATTGTATATTTATTTACATGTTTTATATATTTTTTCCAAA